TCTTTAAAAGTAGTTGTTTGACCAAATCTGTCCTAGAATCTCCTCTCTGGGCTTGTTATCAATTTAGTCTTCCCATGTTAATGATGCTAAATAAAGGAGCATTGTTGTTCAGAAATAATTTTAGCTTGGTGACATTTTGTCAGAACACTGCATGTTTAACTATCGGATAGATATGTAAATACATTGTTAGTTTGTATGCAGGTTTCAACTGCTAACCATTAACATTTTGACTGAATTTTACTGCCAATGAATAGCCACTTAAACTGCCTATAGATTCTGCTTAAAATAGATACATTTTACTTGTGCAGTTTAAATGGGGCCATTGGCCTTTTGCAGAGCTATGGTCAAATAAGCTTGGCTGTATCATGGCATTGAGTGATTTTTTTTTTGTAGGCTAGAATTTGACTATAATCATCTGTTTTATTTCTGAATAATTCTGCTTTAATGCCTTTCTTTTGCATAGAGAGGAACTGCACCTCATTATTCCAGCAATTATGTCGATTCATATTGTAACACCATTTGCAGGATCAGAAAGAAAGATTTTTCATATTTATAGTCCATCAATTGGCACCTTTTTTATCAGGAGGTTTCTCCCTGTTTATCATGTCCAAACTATAAGCAGTCGGAGTTGAGAAAGATGAAACACTGATGACCCTCTACAATGGGGTTGGATGTGAAATTAAGGTTTTGTTTTTCTAAGGTGAATAGAGCTCATAATCTCTAGTTGCATGGTAGCAATTAATTTCTGTAGTACACAATTGTGTAATACTCGGTTTGCTAGAAAAAAGAAGTATCCTGTAGTTAAAATAGTTTCAGTTAATCTGAAATTCACCACTAGCAGGGATTCTGAAAGAGGTAGAAGTCAAAATGTCTCCTGTTATTTGTACACTGTTTGCAATGCAGTCATTTTGTGCTTGGTGTACTGATTATTCCTATCTTGGCTACGTTTTTAAACAACCTTTTTTTTTCTTCCTCTTTGTCCACAGAATATTCTCCTTTTTGGATGTGGTCACCTTGTGTCGCTGTGCTCAGGTTTCCAGGGTAAGGTTTTTTCAATCCCTTCCTCACTTTTAAAGGACTAATCTGAGCTGCCACAAAGGATAAGCTAATTGAAGTGATTTTTATCTTTGGTGGATTGCTGTTAAATCAGTTGGTGCCCAAGTGATACAGGTGACTGCATATTCGCAAGAAGCAAGTCCGAAAGAGTGCCTACTCCTGGTCAAGATGCTCTGAAAGTGCACATTAAGAAGCTGTTGATCCTTTCTGGGAGGGAAAGGAAGTGTTGGCATAAAAGCAACAGGGGGAAAAGAAAACTGAATCAGACTGCCGCCTTTATAATGTAATCTGAACTATGTCAATAGTTATGTTAGCCAGAGTGATGTTGCTTTTTTATTTTGCTCCTTCACTAGATGCTCACTCAAAAAAAAAGGAATAGATGTAGACTGTTTGTTCCTCAAGCTGCCCTGCCATTCAATAAGATTGTGCACTCAACTCCACTTTCTTGCTTGACCCCTTTTAAAAGTAGTTGTGTCTAAATCCATATTGAGTGTATTAAATGTCCCAGCTTCTACTAGCCTTCATGGTAGGGAGTTCCAAAGATTTTTGACACTTGGAGAAGAAAATACACCCCAATTCCTTTAAATGGGAGACAACTTGTACTGAAACTGTGCCCCCATGAGGGAAAACATCTTTCAGCACCTCCTATCAAGAATATAATGTTTCAATACGATCACTTTACACATTCTTCTGAACAGCAAGTTGCTTAGGTTATCTCCTGAGATTACCCTTATCTAACTCTTGCCAAAACTATTGGCATGTTACTATGTGTAACTACGCTAGTTCTGTGAGTCCTCAGAACCTTGCCATACTGACCATTGTTCATGTGTGATTCCAGTCTTGTGCTCAGCTGCTATTCATGTGTACTCCCAGCAAGGGTTATTGAATGGTGACCGTCAGATGAAACTTTAGTTAAGCCACTCCAGGGGTATTGAGCTCCACTTCCTCCCTTTATTGTCAGCCTGCCTTGGATTACCTCATGCAGCAAAGGTCAGAGATCAAATCTGACACTGTTCTGCTCAAAGTTTATAGAAACTCCGCACATATGTTCTGAGCCCATGGGCAATGATATTTTATAAAGCTGTAATATATTCACTTGCAAGGGACATGATAGAGAGGGCATTACTGCTAGGTAGCTCATTTCCTGGCCCGCTAATTTGACATCCAAGTGATGCCAACAGGTGTGAGTTCAGATGCTGTACTGGTGAAGTCAACATGAAGGCCCTGGCTTCTCAACCTCACCCCTCATCTGAGGTGTCATAACCCACCGATTAAATTTGGCACCAGTTAACGCACTCGCGTGAATGGGAGAGCAGTTTATGGAGCTGTAGATTAAGGCAGCTTGAGAGTGTGTTTGCTGGTTTGGTGGTCTTGGCCTTGCCTCTAAGAGAAGGTAACTGCTTTGACAATAAAATAAAGGGGAGTTGGGGCAGTGGTGGTTGAGAAGCAGGGAAAAATAAAGCTTGTTAGCAGTTATATTGAAACCTTTCAGTGCTGGTCAGCAAATGTTTGTCAACACTGAAGTATTGGATAACTCGTCAGCAAGTGTAACCTTTTATAATTGTGTGCAAATCATGGAGACCACATTTTGAATATCATAGCATTTTAAAGGTATTGGGCTATTTAGTGCATTTGAGAAGAATTTGAACCAGAAAAATGGTGATTTTAGGACTCTAATCTGTCATCCTGGTTTAACTTACTTTTGAAGGATGAAGATGTAAAGAAGACATGATCTAAGTCATTTAAACAACTTGAAATGATATTTTCACGCAGATTTTTCATAATTTTACGTTTAGATTTGAAGACCAGAAATCATGAGTTTTGTCAAGATTTATTCTCCTTGCCTAACCCCAAAATAAGGTGGTGGCTGTATTTATTAGACTGCCATCGAAATAAGCTAGTGTCAAACTTCATCCCTATACTAGAAGGGTCTAAAATAGATGAAGAGAGGCCTGAAAAATAAATAATATAATTTTGCATACTCTATGCCTCTGATCCTATTAGAACATGAAAGTATGGCTGGTCAGGGTAAAAATAATGATCAGTTGATAACTTGGAATTTGTAGCTTGAAATCTGTTACCAAGGACAATCAATTTGTAATTTAAGAGATCAACAACTGGTGGTTTGCATGCCTGAGGAGACTGATTAAATTGGAAGTAGTCTCTGATGACAAAATTATACGCTTTGTATATTGATGCAATTTGCCAGATGTGGATTTAATGAGAAACATGGCATTTTCCTCCTGAACGTTTTTACAATGTCATTGAATTGCTTTATATTGTTGTGTTGGATGCAAAACAGGAAAAATTCAAATTACCTTACCTCCACTATGTTTTGAATGTAAGATCATTTAATCCCCTCCTCAGCCTAAATTCTCTAAATTGGTATCCAAATCTCTTCTATTGCTATCATTGCTCTTTCTATTCTGTTTTGCAGATGAATTTTGAACTTGTTCCTCTTTATGGGTAAACTGGTTCTTAGTTGCTGATCGAAGGATACAAAATTTCAGTGCAGCTTTGTAAAATTTTTTTTGGCTAACTTTGCCACTCCTTTTTAATCACATGGACTTCGATGTGGAAACAGAATTGATCAACAAGTGTGTATTGGGAATCTTCCAGGGATTGATATATCAATGTCCTAGACTTTGATTTTAGGGGGCATAATTTTAATGGTTGCAAGTGACAAAACTTGAATACAGCAAACATTGAGGAGTATCTGCTTCGATAGGTTATAAACAGATTGATGGTATAGCAGATACATAGCAGGTGAAATTCAGTTATGCCCAATTCTAGGCATCAAACCTGGAGGATATTTAGATCTTGGAAATGGTGAATAGGAAATTATCAGGATGGTACCATTGATGGGGTCTTCATTTGAGTTGAAACACGTGAGAAGCTGAGGTGGTTGTTCTTTGGAGCAGATAAGTTTAAGGGAATATTTGAATAAAATAGTGAGTTTTGATAGAATAACTAAGAAGAAACTGGTACTGATAAGGACACCAGATTCAAGCCATCTGGCAAAAGGACCAAAGAGAGACTGAAGAACATTTTTAATGGAGTGATTTGTTACGATTTTCAATATACTGCCTGGAAGAGTGGTGGAAGCAGATTGAGTGAGTAGTTCATTTAAAAGACTTGAACAGGAAATGTTTGCACTGCTTTAGGAAAATAGCTGGGGGATCACAATTAATTGAATAGTCCTTCCAGGAAGCTAACATAAGCTGAATGACCTCCAATGCTATCGGATTCTAGGTAATATTTTAGACTCACTGTACCTAAATGTTTTTTAATATTTTGTATGCTATGATCTTTTCCCACTCTGCCTTATTCCTGTGCCTACCACTCACCTTTTTGATTTTTCTGTGCTATAAACCTTTCATTACAACTCATTCTTTGTATTTGATCAATTATTTTGCTTTTCCCATTGTCCTTTCTGGTCCTTTTTTTGTTTTGCAATTTTGCTTTTAGATAGAATCTGGAAAAATATGAAGTACCATGTTGTACTATCTGAAAGTGATGTTTGTGCTCTACTGGGGGGAGGCAATGGCCTAGTGGTATTATTGCTGGACTGTTAATCCAGAGACCCAGATAATGTTTTGGGGACCCAGGTTTGAATCCTGCTGTGACAGATGATTTGAATTTGAATTCAATAAGAATATCTGTAATTACGAATCTAATGATGACCATGAACCCATTGTTGGAGAAACCAATGTGGCTCTCAAATATCCTTTTAGGGAAGGAAACTGGCACCTTTACCTGGTCTGGCCTACATGTGACTCCAGACCCACAGCAATGTGGTTGACTCTTAACTGCTCTCTGGGCAATTAGGGATGGGCAATAAATGCTGCCTAGCCAGCAACACCCTCATCCTCTTAATGAATTAAGAAAAAACCTTTCTGGTTCTCCTAGCATCCTATCAGAAACATTAGCAATGACCAAAGCTTACATATTTATTTGCAAGTAAGCTGAACGGTGCACAGTATCTCACACTTAGCAGGGTTAATGAGGGGTGATGAAATGTTGAATCACTGGATCTTTTCGTGTTGAGACCTCTATTTTGTCATTTGTGTTTGAGTTTGATTCAGAATTTCCATACAGGGTGGTCAAATTTGTAGATGATGCCAGGCTAGAAAAGGCATTTGAGTCTGACCAAATAGCTCAAACTACCAAATAATGTGGGTGACAGGATGGAAGATCAAATTTAGTGCTAACAAATGTTTATTGAATGTAAAGAAAAAAAAATGAGTGACTTGTGAATGCCAGTGAATGGGGTCAGATGAAACTGAAGAGGATTTCAATGAAATTATTGCTCCCTGTAACCAATTGGTGCTGACAGCGGCAAAGCAAGCAAAATATAACCTAACCAGTGGAGTCCATGTTATCAAAAACTATGTGCAGACCATTGTCTACTGGTCAAGCTACCTGAATACTTTCTGAAACAGAAACCGAAATTGCTGGCAAAACTCAACAGGACTGTTAACTCTGCTTTCTCCCCACAGATGGTAGTGTTCAGAGTCTGGTGACTGTTCATTGGAACTTCAGAACTGGACTCAACATCAGCTCTGCTTTCTCCTGCACTGATGTTGCCAGACTGGCTGCATTTCACCAGCAATTTCTGCTTTTGTTTGAGATCTCCAGCATTTGCAGTATTTTTGTTTTATTTATGTGGGTATTTTCTGATATAGATTATCAACACACCAAGAAGACACTTGAGCACTTTGTGCAGCTCAGAGAAGAGCTGCAAAACTAATACCCATGTCAGTGGTCTTAAGTTATGAAACAATTCTGGAGAAATGTGCGACTGCTTAGCTTTTGAAGGGCAGTGACTGAGAAGAGTGTAAAGAAGTAATGTTCTCGAAATAACTTTTCCATACCATCCATTTCAAATAAAGTCAATGTGAAAGGTAAGGATACCCATATAAGAATAAATAAAAGTTCTTATCAGACCCATTTACGACAGCTGTTTGAACGAGTTTTGAGCCCTT